AATATCAGGAAACACTTTTTTACTGTGAAGATACCCAGCACTGGCATGAGTTTTCAGGGGAGGTTCTGGAGTCTTCAGCCTTGAAGATACTCAAAAGCCACCTGGATGTGGTCCTGAGCAACCAGCTCTAGGTAGTCCTGCTTGAGCAAGGGAATTCAACAAGGTGACCTTCAGAGGTCCTTTCCAACCTCAATCATTCTATTATTTTTTTGTCTGATTTACTGTAGTATTAAAGATTAAAGTGGTCATATCTTAAATTAGTTATTCCAGGCCCCCTTTTAGTCAGTGGAGTAAAAAAAAAAAAAGTAATTGAGCTTTTTGGGCATGATTCATTGCACATTGAAGCAGTCATCCAAAAATAGGTCAGATGGACTGTGCCATAGAAGTGCCAATGTGACTAAAGGAAACCTGAGGTGACCAGCTTAGTTGGAGACAGCTACCCTGCAGCTGTCTAGTGTTAGGTAAGATGAATCCCAGCCAAAGGTTTAATGGACAAGGTGTACTATACTCTGTACGTCTGCCAAGCATGCTGCTGAGAATTGATCGTGTAAGTGCAATGGGTAACACACTGCCCAGCTGGAGAGATTGGACAGGATGAGGAATGGAATCAGGGGGTGAGAGGCTCCATCGCTGTTCAAAATGTTCTTCAACAGTAAATGGGCAGCGAGGTCTTGGACTCAGCTCTGAGGCAGCAGCTGAAATTGTTTCTTAGTGTATAGTGAGACATGTGGCCAGTTCTAAAAGGCTGGTTTTAGATCATGGACATATCTACCAGCACAGATAAGGAGCTGCCTGCCAATTCCAAGCATACATACATGACACTTACTCAATCATGCACAAACATAAACAAGCAAATAAACAACCTCCCCCTCCCATAAACTAATCAAGCTTTTTCTTCAGATGGAAAAGGAAGAAAGAATCAGCCTCCTATTGTTTTGGTTTGTTTTTTTCCTCTTTTCTAATTTTAAATACAAGGAGGGGCCCAGATACTATAATGAAACTGAAGCTATTTAGATACATAAATAAACAAAATATGCAGATTTAAGAGTTAGTTTAGCCCTATCTATCTGGAAAAGAAAAATAAATGGAAATAAACGCATAAAAGTTTTGCCAGCCTTGTTAAATGAGATTGGAATATATCCATTATGTGGGAACCTTCAATCTTCACACTATGAATCAACAAAATCAATGAATGTAGGGCTTAATTGACCAAACTGATTCTATGTTAAAACTGATTTAATTACCTCAGTGTCATTATAGTAGCGAGAAATTTGGCTAAGTCACTTTGATTTTAAAATTCCAATCTTTCTGTGGAAATTTAGGAGTTTTGGAAGGAGTTGAAGAATGACCTTGTTTAAGTTCAGAACTGTTTTGGCTTCATAAGCCTTGGCCTTATTTTCACTTTCTTGAAACTTTTTCTCTTCTATTAAGGGACCTTCAGAATATAATTTAATTGAAGAAAATGTGCCCTTGGACTTTCTGTGAGTATTCAAGTAGGGGATAACATGAATTTTTAAGCTGACATAACAAGTCTTAACATGGCTTCTGATTCATTCCTGACATAGCCAGGCATAATACTGGAGATGTTAGAGTATTTGGAAGATAGCACTGCCAGAGAATGTGCCGTAAATATAAAAGAGAATAATTAAATTAGATCCTCTCAGGATGAACATGCTAAACTGAGACCAGAGTGCACGTACAGTATATTAAAAATAAATACTTGCACTGCACAGGCAGTGATTCAGCTGTCATTTGAATTGAGTAAAACTTTTCATGCAAACTAATTTCAGTGAAACTAGTCACGAAACTAAGTTATTCTCATGCAGAAATGGGTTCACCGAGTCACTGATATTTCTGACCTGAAGCTAGGTGGGTGCAATAAGTCTGAAACCAGCCATTTTATTTCTTTTATTATTTGTGGTACAGTGACTAAGACTGGAGTTCTCTTTTTACTTCTGATGTAATGTTGAAAAAGTCAGTTCACCATTGTGTGCCACAGTTTCCTTACTTACAGGTATGAATAGCAGTGCGTAAGCATCTTTGAAAAGAGCTTTGATATATGTAGACTAAAGCATAAGAGTGAAAAGTATTTGTATTATTTTCACTGTCAGAACTAAACAAATTCACAGAATCACAGAATGGTAGGGGTTGTAAGGGACCTCTGAAGATCATCTAGTTCAAACCTCCTGCTAGAGCAAGATCAGCTAGAGAAGATCACACAGGAACGCATCCAGGCAGGTTTTGAATGTCTCCAGAGAAGGAGACTCCACAACCTCTCTGGGCAGCCTGTCCCAGTGCTTTGTCACCCGCACAGTAAAGAAGTTTTTCCTTATGTTTAAGTTGAAATTCAGGTTTGTCCCCTTTTGCAGTACTCATACAAAGCAGTGTCCAATTGGTATTTTGGAGGGTGTAAGTATGTGTCCTATAATGCTGAAAAATAACACTTTTTAAGATTAATCAAATGACATTATGTTGAACAGCACATCAGAAGTAATTTAATTTTTTGTTGTTAGGTTTTTTGGTTTGTTTGGGGTTTTTTGGGGGTTGTGGGTTATTATTTTTTTTTAAAATGGATACTGTGAAGAACTTTGTGTCATTGATTTTGTTTATGTCATGACTATCTAAATCTCTGTATTTCACTGAAGAATATTTCTTGAGCTTTAGGCCAGTGCTTTGTAAGGTCACCCATACAACAGCAAAATTGTTAGGAACTGTAGGCCACTGAGTAGGATTTAGTTCCAGATTAAGACCTTTGCATTCAGATGTCTCCATGTGAAACTGGAATCTGTGCTGCTGTTAGAGTGAATGGAGGTCTGATAAAACAGTCAGTAGTGCCTCCAGAATGAAAGATGTGGGTCTCTTCTAAGTCCCTTGTCATACCTGCCTGCCAAATGTAGACGTCTTGGACATCCTGGACCATCCAATGGCAGGAGGTTACAATAAGGCACCTGTATCCTTCTCTTTCAGGCTTCATTCAGTCATCATCATGTAGACTCCTAGTGCCATTTGAGGTGATAGAGTGTACCCAAGAACCGTGCTTGGTGCTGGCAGATATGGTTAAAACTGGGAGAGAAATATGCCCTGCTGGAGTGGCAGCTGAGAGCCAGCAGGATGCCTTGGGACCTAACTGGACCTTGGTGTCTGCCTGAGTGATTGCACTGAGCTCTCTGAGGTAATCTAGGTCATGCTAAACTGCTCTCCAGGCTCCACTGACTGTATTGACTCAATTGCCATTGATTATAATGGAAAAGCATCCAGCTCATGTGAAGTTGTCTAATTTTCGGAATGTTAGTCCTGAGCTAAATTCAACTTTTTTTTTTTTCTTCTATTTTTACACATTACTCTAACCTCTAAGTTAACATTTTCTAAAATATGCCATATTTTCTTTTGTAGCGCATTTTGTGTGTTATTCTTGTTCCTAAAGAATTTTAAAATGTGTATTTTAATAACATAACAATAATGCATCACTTCGTGCTATAGCAGAAAAGCATCCCTTTTCAAAGTGATATTTTTAAATGTTACTTTCTGCTATAGCAAAGTGAACTGCATCAGTGGCTGTCAGGGAAAGCAAATATGGCAAAAAGAGTCTATTTGACTGAAAATTAATTTACTGTTCTGCATACACTGAAACTGTGCAGTGCAAAAAGGCCACAAAATATCAGATATGCTTGTGTATGAAGTTAGTATAGTTTCAGGTCTGAATAAAGTATGACTTGTAACAAATGCAAATATGGCATTAGGCAGATAATGTAATGTTATAAAAACACTTGGGACACATCTCTGGTTTATCATTCTGGAAATGAGGAGAGGTGGTAGAAAGAGTCTTTTCCTTGCTCTCCTTGAGCACACTGCTGCACTATCTCAACAGATACTGAGATATTGGAAGTAGGAGTCCCTCTGTAGACCTAAGTCTGTTGCAATAAGATTTTGTGACAAATATTTTCTGGAGTAAACTAACTTCATTACTTGGTCCCAGCGCTTCCCAGCATGAGAAGTCAGGGGAATATTTTCTACTCTGATGATAGATAATGGCAGTGGAATTTTGTTGGGTAAGGACTGCGGGATCTGGTGCATAATGAACTCCACAAATGTCTACAGGAGCATGCCCTGTAATCCACTGGAGATGTTCAGGAAGGCCTGCTTGGCATGAAAAGAAGTTGTTGGAAAAGCCTTTTTTTAATGAGTGAGTCCTTGGAATTTACATGTGTTACCTCATCACCTTCTAAAATGGTCAGATATATTTGTGATATATGCAAATAAGCTGAATCTGAAAAAAATGAAACAAATGCTTAGGTTAGTGTTGTTAAAGCTATTACTTTGAGGGTAAGATGTAGATTTTTAAAGCTAACTGTATTTGTAAGAAAGGTTAGGATTTTTCAAAGGCATCTCTGCAATTTGGCTATCATGTTTTAAAGTTTGATTAAAAAAATCTCAGCCTTCATTTAGCAATGTGATTTATAGTAACTTCTGAAGTATTATGTGTGTTTCCTTCCCTGCTAGCAGCCAAGGAAGCAGTCACCACTGAGCCTGAACTTTGGAAGTCCTTGCTGCTACTGTGTGCCCTGTAATGCAGTTCACGTGGATGGACAGAGCCATTGCAACTCCATTGCCATCTCCATCGCTGCTGATGTTGATGCACCAGCTGCACTAATATTTCAAGTCAATCCCTGATTAGTTAGGGGAAGGTCAGCTATTTCTGACTGGCCTCACCCAGACAGAGAAACAGAATGAAGCTCTGCCATCAGTGTCCTAAAATAGAAGGCCCTTTTCATCTGTCAGGCTTGAGTCAGCCACATGGAACTTGAATTAGGAGACACAAATTGACTCACAGGGCATTGGGAAACACAGGCAAAAAGTCAAGTGAAAAGAAACTTCTTCAGATATGAGCTGTATTATCCAAACAGCTTTTTAGTCACTTTTCCAAACATCTATTTATTTTTCTGCTTCTTCTTAAGTAATTAAAAAAGTACTTGCTGTTTTTTTGGAAGATATCTTTGATAATGAAACTTAGTGTGGGAATATTTTTTGGAGGCTTCTTTGCAGCTCTGGGGGTTTTGCTTTTTTTAGTGGCATTTGGAACTGATTATTGGCTTCTTGCTACAGAAATAGGAAGATGCTCAAAAGCACCTGAAGATACTGTGGTTAGTATGGACATTTTTATTTATAATGACAATTATATATGTAGGTTTCTTGGATCTGTTTGTTTTGTAAGAATTTATTTCTGTATAAACTTTTGGATATGCTCATTTTGATCTTCTGGAGGCTTATAAGGCTGCATCAAAACCTCTTATAACCAATTGTAATCAGCTCTAAAATGAATTTGTTGTTTGTGATAGGACTTTTGCAGTATGACATTATTTCAATGGAAGTATAACTGTTTAGATATGTTATAACTAATCTATATTCAGACAGACTGTGTTTCATTGTTATGGTGGTTCTTACATCAACATCTAACTTGAGTTGAACTTGATTCTTTCAGCCATTTAAAAAGTGTATGATAGATAATGGATTTTTTTTTCCTATAGGTAGAGAAGGCCACCTTCCATCATGAAGGTTTCTTCTGGAGGTGCTGGTTTAGTGGAAATGTAGGAGAGAATAATGCCAGCATGTGGAATTTCTGGTACAGTAAGTAACTTTTCCCTTTTATATTATCTACAGTAGTCTGTTCTCAAAATTGTTGGGATTTTTTTTCCTTCTGATGAATCACCAGATTTCATATGGCTTCTTTGGTAATAAGATTCTTCAGGTACCCTAAAATAAATTCTTGACAAATATTTTTGTAATCTGTACTAAGGGAAACCCTGGGACAAAATCACACTTATTTAACCATCAGTTTACACTGTGAGTGTTATGGCTGTCTTGTTAACTCATTAACTATTCTTATTGAGACGATTTCTTGCAATTTATTGTTTAATAGACTGTTTATTTCTGTAATGTCGGGGGAAAGAGCTTAGTGGTTAGGATGGCCCATGAATTTTTGCTTGGAACATTTCTCCAGCTAGTTCTATGAGTGGGTTAAGGAGGATATGGGCAATTATACTGTGAAAATGGCATAGGACACATCATCTCCAGAAGAATACCTCCACTAAATTCACAGATGACACTTTGCTTTCTGTCACTGTGTGCCAGGATTCTGGAAAATCAGATAGTATTTTGCAACCAAAATCTTCTAAGAAGACGTCAAGCAAAACTTCTTTTCCTATCTTTGTCCGTACCTCTGAAGTACAAAGCTCCTTCTTGTTGCAGAATTTCCACAATCCTTGTGAGAAGCAGGTGCCATCATACAAATCTGACTTCAATAACCCATATTTAGCTAAATATATTGCTTGGTCTTAGGTGGCAAATGCACTGCAGTTAATTTCCCCTGGTTATTTATCTGGAGAATTCTGTGGTCAGGAATCTGAAATTTAAATGTGGTTTAAGCTATAGTCAGTCTTTATCTTTCACAAGGAAGAAGGTGATGTTTTTATAAGCATTTAATATAAAGAGTGAAATAACCCTTCTCTGGAGATATTTATTCCATAGACTAAACTCATATTTGTTGAGACTGTAAACTTTCTGAAGATTCATGATATTTTTCATTGTTCTTTCACAATTGAAAAAGTAATTTCCTGGTGGTTTTTCTTCTTTTTTTTTGTGGAACGTGCAATAATGAGATGGACATAATTAACCCTCACAAGAGAGAGGTCCATATGCATATAGAAGCATGCGTATGCAGTGTGCCTTCAGCAAGGCTGCTTTACTGTTCCCATAGTACAAATCTATGTTGCCCTCTAAGGAATATCCTTGGCTGGATAACAAGGCTGGTATCTCTTATCAAACCAAACCCACTGTAAGCTATTGCTTGGGAAAGAACCTGAAATCTTGACCTACAAAACTCAGTTTTACCATTTGAAGAACAGGCTTAAAACATTTTATTGTTAAGGAAGTAAAATGCTAATCTTCAGCTTTCTTTCACTTTTAGCTAACCAGTCACCTTCTAAGTATTGTACACATGCTTACCTGTCTCCATTTCCTCTTATTCGAGATGAGCACAACTCAACCTCCTATGACTCTGCAATCAGTAAGTATTTTTTGGCTACAAATGGATACAATGCCTATAGTTTCCAGAAAACAATTCGGATGCTTCAGTAAAAAACAGCTTTATCACTCCACACAGTTTAATTGAGTTTTCATGTTTCATACTTCTCATAATTTTACAACATGCATATTTAAGCTACTATTTAGCAAAGCACATACATGAATGCTTAGCTTTAAGCATGATGGCAGAATGGAAGACATTTCCTTTTTTAGTGCTTTTTTATCCAACATAAAAATTATCTTCCCTGGGATGAAAGCATTAAACAAGTACTTCTCATGCATTCCAATAAAACTGTTTTTTTTGTTAAATAATCACATGTGGAAACATACTGCATTTTTACTTTATGAGGAAGGAGGACTGTGGCCTTGATACTGTCTAAGTTTACTCAACTAACTCAGATAGATTGCACTGACTGCTGGATGTGCCGCCTTCTCTCCATTTACACTCTAGGGTGTTGAGTCACTGCAATTACTCTGTACAGCATAGCAGAGATACGTATGTGTATGTATATAGGAGATACACAGTAATTGAAAACCTTACGTTTGTATAATGCCTGGAAAGCTCTGTTTTTACAATTTCACTTCAAAATATTGGTCGCATTTCATCAGATCAAGGGCTTTATGCAAACATAATTTAATCAATCACTTCTGATACCTATTTCATATGACTTATTAAATAACTTGTGAAGTGTGGTTGCTGCATATCTCTGAGCTTACTGACTCAGTGACTTAGGTCATCCCTTCCTGTCCTGAAGCTGTAATTATGCCTTTGCTAACTTTGAAGTGTCTTTAGAATCTGATTTTTATGCCGCAGACATGAAAAAAGAATTTGGACTGATAATGGTTCTGTTAATCTTTAGAAATTATGAACTGTTTGTCCAGACAGAATTCAGACCTCACCGTTCAGAAATCTAATCTGTAACTTCACAGCACATCTAGAACAGTTTATCTTTCCATTTGAAAGTGACAGAGTCATCAGCTCTTAATAATCTAGACTGAGTTTGTATTCCACCATTCACTCCTACATTCACAGAGGTTCCTCAAATTATATTGCATGATTACACAGAAGTGGACAAACAAAGAATAAGGAAAGGAGAAGGAATATCATCAAAAGTTTAATTAATTTTAGGTAATGTTTGCCAAAAGAACCGCTACTCAAATATAATTTTCCTATCTATATTTCATATTAGGAGATTAAAAATAGACAGAACTGTGCTATAGATGCTGGCCCAGGTAGAGTATATTCAG